CCTGGAGGATTGGAAATGTTTGTGTTAGCAAAAGATCATTTGATCAGCCAGAAGTGCTGAAACAGAAAATTGGGTGCATTTCTTAGAGATGGTTTCATTCTTGTCGGTAAATTGGCAAACAGGAAACGAAGGAAAAGGGAGGTGATAAGATTCTTTCTAAAGGCCGGGTCTGCTTTGTTTGATATTTACCTGTGCCCTGGTGATCGCACTGTTCAGGTTTTCTGCAGGAAAACGCAGCTTTTCTTCCACCTGGACAGCAAAAGTGTAGATGCTCTTTGTCTCATAATCCAAAACCTAGAAAAATATTAAAAAAGAGGTAAGGAAACTCCGTTAGTACAGTTTTTTTTTCCTCTCCCTACTTCTCTTTATTGACAATTATATTTCATATCTGTTATTTCTTTTTTTTTCTTTTTTCTTTCTTTCTTTTTTTATTTATTTTTTATTATTTTTTAATTAATTAATTAATTAATTTTTTTTAAATTATTTTTATTTCTGTTATTATTTCTGTTATATCTGTTATTTCTAACAAATGAATGTCTTCTGACCTCATTTCTCTTGAGCCTTTAGAGTAGAGGGGCTCCATATTGGGATTCATGCTCGAGAGTGTGCATACGACACATTGCATTTGCACCTTGGACTGTTTTGGGGCCTAAATGGATCTCTTATGTCTGTCCTCAGAGAATTTGACCCTCAATCTGTTCACCACGGATAACTAACTGATTCCAGGTGTAAAAAGGCTCCAGAGTCACATGTCAACCTGGCGGACATCGTGCTCAGGTTTCATACTGTCCCAGAAGAATTAGTTTAGATTGGGGAAAAAAGAGTACTAAGTTGTTTTCTTTTTCATTCAATGCTATCCAGCATGATGCAGAATGAGGATTTTTCTTTAATATCATGCCAACAATTTTTTTTTAACAAAGAGCGAGGGAGAGTTTGGGGAAAAGAATGGGAGAAAAGATGGAAAAACAACCCAAAACACTTGGAAATCATGGTTTCATGGTGAAGAAGGGAGGTGCTCGTTTTATGCTCTACTTAAGAGACCCTGGTTGTGGGATGTTATTTCATTTCTGAAAACAGCAGCATTATCCTTTTTTACTTTAATGTTTTGTTAGATCTGATTTTGGTTTGAGGCCAAAATTCAGCAGCTTTTCCCAAAGCAATATTCAGTCAATCACAGAACAAACAGCTAAAGCTAAAACGTGCTTGTTATAAATCTTCCTTTATGTCTTATTTGGGGTTTTCTGATAAAAAACAAATATGATATAAAACAAGCACCAATGAAACCTCCAACTTCATTAATGATTAATTCAGTCTGCGTGGTACAAAATAAAGATAAAGTCAATTTGCTGGGATAAAATCATTTTGATTTTGTGTTTCAGTTTGCCAGACTGAAAATGATAATGGCCATAGTTACATGTTCTTCTGTTCTATTTTTTGAATAACTGTGCAAACTCTAGAGGAACTTCGGTTTTCCCCCGCATTCCAACAGAAAACTGAATGAGTTAGCATGTTCTTCATCACAGGACGGGACACCACAGGTAGGCGGGAGTATTCCGCTAACTGGATTATTCACGATAACAAGGATGCTCAGTCGCAGGGTGTCAAAGGCATTTGTAAACAGCTTAGCACGAATAAAACCTCAGCCGCCGTGTGGCCGATAGCCGGCTTATTCTGCCCGTTTTAACGCGGCCGGGGAGAGAAATGAGAGGGGAGAGTCGAGGGGAGAGAAGACTGGATGGATTCTAGGCCAGCATGGGTGCAAGTTATTACTGAGCT